ATCTGATCACCAAACCTCACAGTGGCTGGTTGCGAAGAACTGATCACCAAACCTCACAGTGACTGGTTGCGAAGAACTGATCACCAAACCTCACAGTGACTGGTTGCGAAGAACTGATCACCAAACCTCACAGTGACTGGTTGCGAAGAACTGATCACCAAATCTCACAGTGAATGGTCGTGAAGAACTGATCACCAAATCTCACAGTGAATGGTCGTAAAGAACTGATCACCAAACCTCACAGTGACTGGTCACGAAGAACTGATCACCAAACCTCATAGTGGATGGTCGCGAAGATCTTCTAGTTCCCGGTTAACGAACTATTTTCCCTTTTTTTTTTTTTTTTGGGTACTGTTGATTTGGGGTAAAGTGTGATATTCCGTGAAGGAACAGTGGGAGGTCAGTACTATCTGTAAGTTCACGGGGGGAAGAGTGTCAACATGGTCCGAGTATTGAGAGGAGACCAGTGAAAATGTCTATTCATGAGCAATGCGTGCACGCACGAGAGAAAGTGGACGCGTGGGTTGCGGTGTGGGGGCTGAAAGCATGGATAACAAGATAAACAGAGAAAGTGTGAATTAAGTGACAGTATGATTCTCAGGTAACATCGGCCACCAAAACAAGTGTGATCCTCGAACACTCACATGAGCGTGAGTCCCGAGAACACCCACAGGATCATGATTCACGAGAACGCCCATGCGAGCGTGCCTCTCGTGGAGACATCATCCACCTACACGGATTTGACAAGGTAAATTGGGCTGCGTAGACGGTCCGGGGAGAGTGAGCTGTAGCCTGAGGGCTAAAGCCGCTCGGGGGCAATCGAGAAGCAGTCGAGAGAGAGAAAGCGAGAGTCAGAGACCAAGTCAGGGTCCGTGATATCTCTCGCAAGTCTAAAAGACGAGAATACCGTACGACTATCGGGCATTTAGGTCCGAGTAAGTGTCAAGGGCGGTACTGAAGGGATAAAGACGAGCATACCGTACGACTATCGGCCATTTAGGTCCAAGTAAGTGTCAAGGGCGGTACTGAAGCGATGGTCCCGCTGGCAAAGTAAGTCCAGGGGACGGAAGGCCAGTAGTACCTGGTTTCGGAGTACGGCAAGGGGAAGTCCGTCTCCAGTCAGTTATATTTCTGAGAGAGGAAGCTGAAAAGTACCTGCTACGACTACTTGGTAGTGTGCTGACTTATTTAGCACACAGCAGGTACTCATATGGTCTTCGCTTCTAGTACATACATATGACATACCTTTTTCCCAGAATTTCCATACATTTTGAGGTGATCTTTCAAGAAAAGATCAAATTTTACCTGCAGCTCTAATGTACCCAAATAGTTGTGCTGGCTCAGTAATCTAATTTTCTCCACAAAATGGCAAACATCTGGAGGCAACAAAGAGAATTGCAGAAACCACACGTGTCAACACTTTATGCTCTGAGCGATCTCATATGTTATATATATATATATATATATATATGAGAGAGAGAGAGAGAGAGAGAGAGAGAGAGAGAGAGAGAGAGAGAGAGAGAGAGAGAAAAAAAATATTGGCTTCATTTTACACAGAATTAATTGAAACGTCAAACACATTTTTATTCATGGTTCTCTCTCTCTCTCTCTCTCTCTCTCTCTCTCTCTCTCTCTCTCTCTCTCTCTCTCTCTCTCCCTCTCTCTCACACCAGATAAGACGACTATAATACAAGAATTATGGTTGTCACTTTACAAACACAGATTAGTGTTTGTGAAGCTCCCGTGCAAGTAGCTAGCGGACCCATTCATTGAATGTTGAACTCAAAAGCTACATCCTAGCACTCAGTGCACTTCTATAAGCTCTCGGTCCCCATCTTCAGCAGGTAGATAAGGGCTCCAGTTCTGATGGCACCAGTAACTGTCTGATTGTACATCCGTCTTGTCTTTCCCTTGAATGTTGAGCGTTGGTGAGATCCCCTGGTATCTCCCCTTAGCGTCATTCAGACCGTAATGATCTATTTGTACCGCAGCACTGTTAACGCGCTCCCAAGAAGTCCTCACGACTTCTAGCTTGTCATGCATCAATTCACCAGCAAGTGGCGCAGAACCAGTTAGCCTATCTACTGCTCGTTTCCCAACACACCCGCATACCCTGGAGAAAAATGCAAAGAACGCTAACAAGCCGGGATCTCTGAAGCGATGCTGACCACTCTGCTCGGAGCATGCCTGTCTCCACCGTTCTCAACATGTGAAAAAAAAAAAATTAAGGTCCCTTTTCCTCGCCTTTAGACGTATAGGGCATTTAGGGCTAGACCTATATTTTTATAGACCAATCGGCACAAGATGGGTGATGTGGTAAGCATCACACCGGCCGCATTTACTTTCCAGGACTGCACTCGGTACTCACTCAAGGCTGGGTCGACCTGGGAGCCAAGGTCATTTCTCAGCATGCACTCATGCGGTAAAACGGTCCTGCTATGATGGTTAGTTTCGTATCTTTTACAGGACTTTGCAAAAGCAACCCACCATTTTTAGGATGTTATGGATTTTCTAGGCAAATTTTATGTTCAGTAGTTTGTCATTGCCACTAGACGGTCAGCTCTCGGTACCACTGTCGAAACCAGCGCAAGACAAACCGTCCATAGCTGGGATCGATCCCGGCATTACGAAGCGCGTTCGCAACGCCTAAGCCACAGACATTCTATGATGGTAACTAGTAAAACTACAGCTTTCTATTTTTATGTTGTCAAACGACTCTAATGTCTCTCCACCCCTTCTCTCATCTAATGTCATTATAAACGCCCCCCCCCTCCACCTATCAAAATGTAAATTTGTTTATCGTTCTTCAAAATGACACAGAGGCCCTCTAGCGACCCCCTCCATGTTTATTATTACCTCAAACACAAGGGCCTAACATCAAAGTCGTTCCCTTGTGGGATGCAATTTTTCGTTATTTGAAGCCCCAGTCTGCATTTTGCCGGGGTCCTGAATAAAGCTGGGCCACAATTGTGGCCATAATAGTTGAAAGGGGTTTCTGTGATCCTCATCCGCAAGGTGGCACATTGTGTCACCGGGTGTTTATCGCTTGTGTGATGTCCTGGTGGGGTACAACAAGCAAGCAGGCAAGCGAGGTCGTTAACTGGATCTAACGTTAGGGGTCATTACGAAACTAGTACACCGTGAAGGGCATTTAGACAAATTGTTCTTACAACTTGGTTTCTTGAAACCTTTTGAACGAAAGTTTATACATACTGCCTAACAGTTTTGTAACTGTCAAAATTAATCGTTAAATACTCGCTACCAAGTTTGAATCTCGTGTGCATTTTTTATTTAAAATTCACATTTGTGGAAAGTTACGTACTGTTCTGGTTGTTAAGGACTTTAATGACGTCATCAGTCGGCCGGCCCTTTTTGAAGACCACACCTCACCAGCAGGGCTGCCAATGCTGGACTTATACCCCCAGATCTGGGTTTTTATTTGACGCTTTGGGTTCAAACTTTTTGAATCTTTTTTTTTTAAAGTATATCCTTAAATAAAAGTTGGTAAATGTTTCGTTTCGTACCTTTAAAATTTGTACTTCTTAAAAATCTATTTTTTTGGGTGGCCTATTTTTTGGCTTGGGTTTTTGTTCAGCTTAGCTGGGTTTTTCACTAGTCACAGGTGGGCTACCAGTGAAGTCACACAGGTGTGTCGCAAATCGCAAAAGTGGAAGGCAAGATAGGTCACGTTTATTTCCAGCGGAGCAAGAGTGTTAGAAGTTTGTGCAGTTTTACTAAAATAGTTTAATTTGTACCTTGATATCCCGTTCAACACTTATTTAATATTTGCTACAAAGTGGGCTATACACTGTATGTGTGTGTGTGTATAAATATTGTTAACGTTCCGTTATATTATATATTAAATTAAACTTATTTAACAAATTTATTAATTAAAATTAATAATAAATAAAACAAACAACAGAATGTTATAAATAATATAATTTATAACTGATATTGATAACATACTTATTTATACTATAAATGTGATACTTATAAGAGTGAAAAAAGATGATATTATTATTTATTACTAAAATTATTAACTTCTTATTTATTTTCACAACGTAACTAACCTAGTAGAAGTAGAAGTTGACTGGCATATCTTCTTTCTTTGCCTAACAACCAGACTTGTGTGCTTGTCTTCATTTAATACCTGTTTACAACAGGTGGATCATCGACTCTTGACTACCGTGTCTCAGTGTCTCTGGAATGCAGGACTTTCAGCATGCCTGCTCTGTTCATAACTGCAGACACAATGACTGCATATGCGGCCAGTCTGTCAGCTCATTTATTTCCTTTCAGCCTAGCATACCCTAGTGCAGTGTTTCCCAAACTTTTCTTAGTCGCCGGGCCCTCTTCAAATAAAATTTTTCCGCGGCACCCCAGCCTAAATATATGAGATAAAAAAAGAAAAAAAAAACTTGTGTGACTTCGAATATTTTGCAGCGATCCTGTGAAGAGGTCGCGGCGCACAGTTTGGGAATCACTGCCCTAGTGTGTACAGCCAAGATAGTTTCTTAAAGCAAGCGAGCTGTGCCTCGTTAACCTGAAACCTTGTGGCTTCATATTTCCGGCATGCACCACGAGGAGGTAGGGTTGACCTGGGTGCTCTAAGTAGTGGGGTTGACAGGCTACCTTAAATCTCGCTGTTCAACTCCCTGAAGAGTCAAGAACCTGAGCACACCCTTACATGCCTTGATCACTGAATGAAAGCCATGCCTTGATCACTGAATGAAAGCAAAGTTCTGAAATATCCCTTGATGACAGTGGTAAATATTGACTTTTTACATCTGCCTGCATTAAATCTACAAATTTATTTTTTGCTGTGGTATTCTTTGTTTCTCCAGAAAGCAATGGCAAACTACTGAACTTAATGTTGCATAATGAAATCACAGCCAGAAAATTATAAGGTTGGTTCTGCATTGTTCTGTAGATACACAACTAACTTTGTTAATTCTTTGTTTCAGATCTCATCTGTCTTTGCTTCATCTTGCCAGTAGAAAATGTCACGAGGCGGTGGTTTCGATTTCAAACATCTTGAGGAAGAAGATGACACAGACATTGGTGAGCCTCACCTTCAACTAGAGCTGCAGCCTCATCTGACAACATACAACAAAAATAACTACATCGGTAGCCCAGCCACAGATGTAGTGACTGCAGACACAAATAATACAACAGACATTGAAGCATTCACTAATGGCAGTCATAAACATTCTGAACCAAACAATGTCAGTAATTCACAGCCAAGTTCAGCTCAAGTGCAGCCCAAAGTTCATATTCAGTACAGCGCCACAGATGGTAAGGTCAATGTCTTGCAAGGTCAGGTGGTGACAAGACCTGATGGATCTCGCTATATTAACACCCGAGGAATTCATCAACACTGGTCAGAATTAGAACGTCCCCTCCGTCAGAAAAAGATCAAACTTTTGAAGATATTCTCCATTCTTGCATGCATTGCCTTCTTTCCTTTTGGAATTCTTGCAGTATATTTTGCCTTCAGAACCGAGAGAGAATTAAATGAAGGAATTATGAAAGGAAATATTGACAGGGCTCAGAAATTTGCCAAACGCGCAGAGAAATTAATAATGATTTCGCTCCTAATGTGCCTTGTGATTGTAGCTCTGGTTGTGGCACTGGTTGTGGGAGCTCATAGACGAGACTCTCTGCTTAGAGGTCCCATCATGGGTTGATCTTGCTGTGGTTTCATTAATTCTTTTGTTTGGTTTTAAATTACATATCTTCTTAATTTTAGAATTATGGTGTATAGTAGTTTTCTTAAAAGCCAGCTTATTAATTTTAGAACTATTAAGGGAAGGAATTTTGTTTTCAGAGGATGAAATGTTATGGAGAAGTGAATAAATATATCGTTTCTTAAGCTGCATTCATTTAGCTTTTTTCCCCCCAAGACAGTTGCTATTTAAACACTCTCTGTCCTGAAGTCTATATGCACTAAATCAGCAATCAGTAAGTCTTGATGAGTTAATAAATAACAGTAGGATGGAATAAGTTAATGTAACAATAGGGTAATAAGAGTTTAACATAAGGATGTAACGTAGAAATAGTGTCACAAACATTTAGTAATCAATAAATGTGTGGTGAGTTACCTGGTAATAACAAAGTTAAAATATTTTACAGTTATATTTTGTAGCTTGCCTGTTTATACTAAAACTAATTTTTCTGTCAGTTTGTGGTTACAAGCTCTATTTTTTTCTTCGCAGACACTTTCTTGACATGCAGACTGTTTAAACTAATCTCTGCCATTCACAGTCTTACTCCAAACTTTTCTGTTCATGATTTTCAAATTGGCATGTACACTTTCAAATATTTTGTTATCTTTTCTTGCATTTTAAATTTTCTCTCTCTTTTTTCATGCTTTTTGAAATATATATATTATAACTTTAAGATTATTGTTCAAATTATACGCTTTTTAATTTGTTCACAATATTTCTCTTACATATTTCCACCTTTGTCTTCCATGAATTTCATGATCTTACACATACATTTTAGCACCACCATGATGTTCCATACAGTCATCATTTTACTGATGTGCTAGTCCCATGTTTTGTACATACTGTTGAAGTCTGACATTCCTTCTTGTGCCTTTTGCAAACTGCCTATTGTATTTTATACATTAAAAAAATCTTGTATTGTTAATTTTTTATTGTACAGATGCTTATAACATTACATTTATTTAAATGTTGATTACATGCCTGGTAGCCTCATTAAAAAGAAAAAAAGGGCAAAGTGCCAAGAAAAACTGTATGAGTAATTTAAAAAGTGCTCTGATATTGGTTTTCCTTAACTTTTTCAGTCTTACAATGTTCTAGCCAATGCTCAAGGGAGTTAAGAAGGACAGTATTAAACTTATTGGTATTCTACTTCCAGAGGGGCCAAATATACAACCCTTGCAGGAAACAGATATGTTTTCAGAGTTGTTCACTACACTTAAGATGTAAGAAAAATATAAATAAGGTGACAATTGGTACACTTGAATAATACTCAGTCACGCATAGTGCGTTGTTTAGGACAGACAGATTTGAGGGACCCATCAACATTTATGACCCTATACTGGTGAAAAAACTTACATTTAAATTATGATCTGGAAGACTGATATATGATTCATGTTTTTTTTTTTAAAGTTTTTTCTTTGTCTTGGTTTTTTTTTTTACATGTACATACATATCTTATATGTTATGCTTGTGAACTGTTATTAAATTTTCATTACATCAGTAGTGATCTGTAGCTATATTGTTCATTTTAATTCTGGTTGTCATCATATTTTTGTTCTCAGAAGAGCATGAACAAGCATTATCGCTACCTTTTTTTATTTTATTGTGCCAAAAAGGGCATCACTGTAGGGTTCATTCTCATCTCTTTGGCAGTGGGAGATGTGTTCTGTGCTTGCGACATCACTGGTAATTCAGTGCTTTTTACATCATTGATGTGTGTTCTTTTCTTACTCTTTTTCATCTGTGATGTAAATGTATTGTGCCTGCTTACAGCTTTGCTGTAATATTTGTGCCTGTTGACTTATTCAGGCATTTGTTATCCAGGTTAACCTTCCTGGTTAGTTTCATAGGACATTTGTAACTTCATATGTGTGTTGACTTCATCATCCCCTGATCCACATAATTTTGTCTCTAGAGGTCCTGCCTTTGACAGCCCTAAGTCATGGGTTGACCTTCAAGGGAAGGGCAGGAGCATAGACATCCTTTGCCATCCAAGGAGGCTTCTGTAGTGCAGAGCTGATACATGGTGTGTTCTTTTGAGACCTGACAGGTCTGTGAAACATTCAAGTCTACAATAGTATATATTTATCATTGGCATGCAACATGCTTCGGGTGGAGGGACCCATTGGGGAGGATACTAGCCTTATCCTAGGAAGAGGAAATGCAACCTGAAAAATTTATGTTATGGCAGAGCAGACCAGGCCCTTAGCCTTGGCTGGCAACTGGTCTACGAGGGAAGCTCCAACAGACAGACAGGTAGAGCACTGCTCTTCTGATTTGTCAGCTTCTGCAGCCTGCTTTGTTCTAAACGTACTGGTTTTACCTTTACTTTGCAGTAAACGAGGCAGGTCGAGAGAGGGATCATGATGCATGGGCAACATATGGTCTCTTCAATACTGCCCAGGCTTTATGCACCATGCTATGGTCACCTCAGAGAAATCCTTGTTTCAAGAAAATTGCTCTTGAACATTGTACTTTTGTAAAGTGGATAATGAAAACTGTAGCTGTATAAACAGTAATACTTAATTTTGACCTTTTTCAAGAAGAATTCACATGTGTGCTACTGGCATATTAAACAGTGACAAACAGCAGTCCTGAAAATGCAGAGGTGAACAAAAATCATCAAAACTTAGATCACTGGCATAATGCCAGTGATGTGGCTGGATAAAATTGGTTATGGTAAGTGCAGTGCCTTGATGTGTTTGATACAAATGGGTAATGTTAAGTGCAGTGCCATGCTATGAAACATAGAAAGGGGAGGGGTTGTCGCATCATAAGTAGTGAAATCAAAATACATTTTAAACTTTTGGTCTGACTGTGCAAAGCTATTAGGGGCAGCACTTTAAAGAATTGCATCATACTGATAAAATCTACCGCATGGGACTGGATAAGAGTATCACTTTTCAGAATAGATTTTTCTGATATTTTATCAATGTCCATAGACATTTTAACACTTTTTTTTAAAATCTGGTGTGGTGAGTGAACACGTTTTACAGTCCTCAATGTACTGAGGTTCTATTTTCATGGTGGTTGATTTAGAAAAGGATGTTGTATTTGAGTCATGTCATTGAAGAGATTAGGCTGTTGCCATATAACATTCTAAAAGATAGTGGTCTTAACTGCTGTAGCCAACCTCTATATGTTTTCATTTTCTGATAACTTTATCTTTCCCCATGTCTCTGCTCAATATTATTGAAAACCAAAGTGAAGAAAAGGCCAGAGAAAGCAAAGTATAAGTCAGCTTTACAGAACCATTTACAATAGATAAATAAAGGACATTACAGCTATTAGCCTTCAGCAGCAGTACTGTGATGAGAAACAAAACACAAAACACACAAAAATGAACTGACTGAAATTATCACATTATGATATACCAGTATTATGTGAACAAACAAAACAAAGTAATAATAAACGCAGGAATTATATAAAGTATGTGTTACTTACCTGGACCACTCTATTTTTTTCTTTAAAATAACCACCCCCTTACTCCTTCCAAATGTAGTTTTAAGTAAATATATTCACATCCTAAACACTGCACAGGCGCAAACAAAACAAATGCTTAACTAGGCTTGTCTTGGACAGTACAGAGTGGAGAACAGACAAAGAGAGACACCCTGGTCCTCTAGCTTGGTGTTTAAAGTCTGGGGTTAATGTGCATGGTGAGCTGTGGATTTCATTTGGAATACTTTTCACCTGTGTCCAATGTGATCTGTGTTGCTGCTTCCAGCTGTTAGTGTTGGCAATTCTGGCGACTGCCTTATGTGTCAGTTTTTTTTACAAGTGACAGTGATGGGCATGCTTTGAGGTTTTCATTGGCACAGGAACAGAATCTACCTAGTGACCCATATGCAATGAATTTGAAACTGCGAGTGCCTGATTTGTTTTGACTACCAAAAGTGTTCCTGCCGCCCAGTGTATATTGTTTGCTGTGCAGTCACTGTTTCAGGGTTCATAGTGGACCTTGAAACCTTTAAAATTTGGGAACTGCAAGATTCCTGTCAAGGCTTTGGAAAAGCCCTGGATTTGTATGAAAACTGAGATTTCCTGAGATTTATATTATCATTTACAGTCATATATATTTTTTTGGGGTATAATTTGACTATCATTCTGCTTTCTGAGATGGTTTCTTGTGAATTCTTTAGAAAACTGTTAGTTTTAATTCTAGAGTCTGTTGAACTGGGGTTCAAGTCATTGAATTCCTGAAAAGGGATTTTATCTATCAAGAGTTTTGGTGTTAATTCTTGTCTCCAGGCATAGCACTACATTCACAGAGGCTGTGCTGCAATGCTTTTGTTCCCAACTCCAAGCACAGAAATGTGCGTTCAAGACAGGTACTATAATTCAGATCTGCAGAGAAGCATATCTGGTTGTAACCTGGCAGTATTCAGCACAACACATGCAGATTTGCTGTTTAGTAGACCTCACTTGATGTTTCATCACAAGTTTGGGTAATTTCATTGCCATTCAAACTCCAGCCAGATGCTCAGAGCTATTCATAAGATTTAATTTATATTGTGTTTTCTGTCAGTACATTTCTGGAGATCTAGATTTTACTGTATTTCATTTACTGTTGTATAATATATAATTTTACTGAACCACACTTTTATTTTTATGTCTGCTTAGCAGTTTTGCTAAATAAGACCTTCAATTAAATTATAAATTTGACTAACGACAATTTGTAATAAACTAAGTAACTGATATATTGTTTTGCTGATTTGTTGTATTCAAATGTGATACCATTGTGCCTTCACCAACCAGACTTTGTGTATTTACATGAGCCAGATCTTTTTTATATTTAATGGATATTTTCACCGGGTGATGCTGGTGTGTTAGGGAATGAATAGGTACATAGACTGGCTGGTTCTACACCACTAGTTGATGAAGTGAGACATCACAAGTTAGATGTTGTATGGGTCTTATGGGAGAAAGTGAACAGAGCAGAGGCACAAACAGATCAACAC